ATCTATAGTAAATCAAATCAAATCTGTCTTGAGCTGATCTTGACAGCTGGTGATTTCATGTACATGTTATGTTATATTATGTTTATTATATTTATATCCCGCCCTTCTCCTTGCGGACTCAGGGCAGCTAACAGCCAGATAAAACAACTACAAAAATACAAAATGCTACAATTAAAAACATAATTAAAAGACAATATTAACATTTGGCCAAATTAATTTAAAATTATTTTAAAACCCCGCTAAAAATTTCCCCTAGGCCAGTCCTGCAAGCTGAAATAACCAAGTCTTAAGGGCGCGGCGGAAGGAAGGGAGATCAGGGATCACCNAACTAGTCCTTCATAGCTGCAGATGTTCACAGAGTATGTTTACAGTTCATGAAAGTATATAGAACAGGGCTTTTCAACCAGTAGTATGGGTACCACCTGTGGTACATTGGCACCTGGCACGTGGTACGCGACCATCCTAGAAAAGTGGTAGCAGGGGAGGGGAATGAGCTGAACCCGTGGCAGCACCGCACAAGCCTGACTGAGAGATGGCTGGAGCTGCAGGGCTGTCAGGGCTCAGTGGAAGCGCCAGGATCGGCGCCAGGATCCAGCTGGAAAGCAGCACTGATCCTGGTGCTTCTGCTGAGCCCAGAAGAAGCGCCGATCAGCTGGAATGTAGCAGCATCTCCAGGGTCTTGTGATTTACATTCAGATGCTTGGCAACTGATTCATATTTATGACGGTCACAGTGTCCCAGGGTCATGTGAAGTGACCAAAACCTCCTGCAACCACCCAGCAGACGGGGGGAATAAAAACCAAACACCCCCCACCCCACCCCTGCTGCCAATCCTCAATAGAAATGCTCACAACAATGAAAACCTCGGACAGGAGGAAGAGCGCTGCCAGGTGGGCAGGCAGGTGTCTTGCTCGGCTGTGGCTTGGGGGGCACTTTTTTCAGTGCCATTGTAACTTCAAACAGTCACTAAGCGAACTGTTGTAAGTCGAGGACTACCTGTACTTCATCACTTTTTTCTTTCTTTTTTTTTTTTTGGGTCATCAAGTTTTTGACACCTTGCTAGGCGCCTGGTGGTACTCGGATGTTGCCATATCCTAAAAGTGGTACAATGGGTGAAAAGGTTGAAAAGCCCTGATATAGAAGACCATAATAAACTCTATTGAGGATGAGTCGTGAAGAAATATGATGTAATCCTGTGATCTTCTTGATTTATAGCACTTTCTTGTTAGGAATGGGAAACCATTTTTTTCCTTTGTTTAGATAAATCTAACTTTTTGCTTTAAGCTGTCCAACAGGTATGTACATGCTCTTTATTCCTTCTGGGAAACAGAATCTGCTGAGTATTGCAGAAAGTATGTTACGTTTCTTAGGTTCACACACCTTTTTTCTTGACATTACTAAATTTATCCTGACTGCTTAGATTTAGCTTAATGTTTTTTTCCATGTACCTTGACCGAGGAATGATTTTGGCTCAAAACCTGAAAAGATGAAATTTGATAGCTGTTTTGTGTTTATTAAAAAGCAGAATGTAGTTGTTTTCCAGTGACATAGCAAGTGGCTGTTGAGTTGTAGAAAGCAAGTGACATTTCACAACATTTGAGCTGAAATTATGTTCAGTGTTGGCAAATATTTGTTCCCAATTCTGATTTTTCTGGCATTGAAGCATTGGCAGAGGGGGGATCAATTATTGCTGTGCATATTATTTTTCTTCTTCTGCCATTAAGTAGTGTTATACCAGTCAGATTCATTTTCTGTTTTTGGAAGTTACCACGATAGCCAGTAGCAATGTCGTTTAGGTGGGAGAACTGGATATGGAAAGGCCAAGCAGCCCTCTTTTACAATTCTCCTGTAAAATTCCTCTTCTTCTCCATAACTTATTAGCAATTCTTCCTCCCTCATACATAGGTTTGCATTATGAGGGAGAGATAATGTTACCAATCTTTGCAGTATAGTTCTCCATTTACATGAGATTTTGTAACAAATAGCGTAGTTTAGATTATAATTGCTGATTGTTTGCTTGTAGAGTTTTTGTTTTTTGTTTTTTTGTGCCCTCCAGTTATTGTTGACTCCTGGATAAATATCTGCAGTTTTCTTGGCAAGATTTTTCAGGAAATGGTTTGCCATTGCCCGTTTTCCAGGACTGAGAGAAAGTCACTGACTGAAGGTCAGCCAGCTGAGGCAGGACTAGAGCTCATGGTCTCCGGGTTTCTAGCTTGGTACCGTAACCACTTTCCCAAACTGGGTCTCTGTAATAGCTGTTACGATTTACTAATGTATGCAGAAGTTAAATTGAAGTACAGATATAAATAATAAAAATGACCTTGAATCAAGCTTGACTCCTAATCCTTTCAGCTATGGTCATGTAATTTTCTAAGTAACAGTCTGGAAATGGTTTGTCAATGCCATCTGCTGAATTTTTCTTCTAAAGACTTTCCATTTTAGCTTACAACCTTGGTATTTCCTGATAGTTTCCTATCCAAGTATTAATCAAGCCTGACCTTACTTAACTACCAAACCCAGAAAAGGTCAGCCAAGTGCTACCATTTGCTCAGACATGTAAATAGTAATACCCATGCATAAATGTATTGAGCTATATTTATCTAGAAAACAGTAATTATGCTAAACATAATGGGGCTTACAAATAACTTTATAGATTGTATTTTAATATTTGAAGATCTTCACATACAGTTCAGATATCACATTCCACTTCTCTAAACCACATACTATATAGGATAAATTTTGTTTCCTCTTTAGTACATCAATTTCATAACCTGTTCTTATTTAACCACCATTGGCTATGGCATTGAATCAGGCAAATTATGATTGTTGTTAACCTCAAACTGTGGATTAAAGTGGTTTTGTGGTCTACAATTTGAAATTGTTACTACCGTAAGCGTAATTTGGTCAGTTAAGATATAAGTATAGTTGGAAGAAACTAGAATACAAGAGAGTACTGGTATTTGAGAAGAGAGAGGAAAGTGAGAATTTTCAAGTACTTGAAATAAGTACTTTAGTAAACCTTTCAGAGCTGGCTCCAACCAAATAAATCTTTAGTCATGCTCTGCAAGATAAGCTAACATCAATATCAGTACATTCAGAGAATATGGTTTATTCTAGACTACCTAGTACAGTGGTGGCGAACCTATGGCACGTGTGCCAGAAGCGGCACTCGGAGCCCTCTCTATGGGCACACGTGCCGTTGCCCCAGCCTTGCCTCCCCCCGCCACCCCCTCAACAGCAGCCCCTCTGGAGGAGAGTTGCCCCCGAGCATGGCCCACGCGGAGCAGCACAGCCAAGGACATGGCAGCCAGGCAGCATAGACAAGACTCTGCCCTCATGCCCCATCGCGCACACTTGATGCTGTGAGGCGCGGGCAGAGGGCGTGGCTGCCATGGCGCTGCTGGGCTGCCATGGCGATCTGTGGCGGGCCCTGGAGGCGTTGAGTGGCCCTGCAGGCAGTCAGGGTGGGGACGGGGCAGGGGGTGAAGCGGGGCGGGGCCAGTTTTTGGGCACTCGGTCTTGAAAAGGTTTGCCATCACTGACCTAGTCAATTCATGACAGGCTAAATTTTCAGTTGCAATGACCATTCTTTCTCCCATAAAGGATTGTTGATCTATAGTAAATCAAATCAAATCTGTCTTGAGCTGATTTTGACAGCTGGTGATTTCATGTAGCTTTTTTTCCCCCAATAGTATGGAAATGTCTTGCCATTGCCTTCTTCCAGAATTTTTTTTTTTAATTTTTCAGGATAGCCTCCAGCACTAAGATTTCCTAGTGATCTTTCATCCAAGTACCAAATAGACCTGACTCTGTTTACCTTTCTAAGTGCAGCCTTTGTAATATAAGTAAAGTCACATGAAAAATAATATAAGTTACAGATAGTGGTGACAAAGCTAGAGGCAAAACTAGAGGCTGGAACTTGCACTATTTCAGGATTAGATAGCTCTTTGTTTCTCTCTGCTTGAATCTACAGCATTCATAACGATCAGTGATACTGAGGACAACATGAAATTACCCCACAGGATACATGGATATAGATTACCTATCTTAATTTTATGTCATATTATTTCAAGTATCAGCAAAACCTTTTTCCTAGGTTGTGGTATCTATTATGGTAGCCGGTGGTGTTTATTTTTCTTTGGCCCCAATAAAATTGGGAGAGAGAAGAAAATACTACTGTTTGTTGATTTTATTTAAATATTTTATGTATTTGCAAATTAATTATTAAAATATATTAATTTGTCTGCATATAGCCTTCATTATTTTTCAAAGAAGGAAACTTATTTTTGTTCTAGAGAATTGATGGTTGCCTTGGATAACTTTGTTTTTCTAGATGGTGAGAGACTAGTTGCTGAATCTTTCATTTCAGATATTCAGTTTGAATCCTGATATTCATGCCAATATTTGAACCTTTTCTTTTTGGGACAAGTTCAGTGAGAGTTATTTTGCATGTTCGTTACAGTAGATTTTCATTATTCCTACTAAAATTCAGCTCACTTGCCACAAACACAATTGCGTCTATAGACTTCATGCTTTCAATCTTTAAGAAATCAGATGGAGCAGAAACAGGGCTAAAACAAATGTATTACTGGTCTTTGTTGAGTTGGTCCTTCATTGCAATAGATGGAATACCTGAGTTATTCAGAAATATGTTATTGTATAGACGAAGTGTAAGGAAATTAAGTACCTACTTCTAAGAGACATAATTCCTTCAAAATTGAATTGACAGAATAACCTTGAGATAGGAATCTGCATTCTGTAGAAAGCAACTGTGCATAAGAGAAATATCTTATTCCGTGGGGGCAGTTAAACATCAGAATTATAGCAAATAGACATTAATTATTTTCTTCTATAGACTTCCCAGAGAGAGGAAGCCTGTGGAATAAAAACATTGTTCATATAAAGTAATATTTCTATTACTTTAAACTCTTAATGGTTCAATTAAACCTTGCAATAATATATAGTTCCATTTCAAAGGTAATAGAATTCCAATTAATCCTTCTTGTAAGTAGTTTGTCACACAGAATTATTTCTCTTGTTACTTCAGCTTTATTGTGTTTGTGCTCTGACTGCAACCAAGCCAATGCCACATGCGAAACAGATGGCGCCTGTATGGTCTCAATAACAAATGTGAATGGAATGAAGCATCACACCCGGACATGTATTCCTGAAGTAAAGTTGATTCCTGCTGGAAAACCATTTTTCTGCCTTAGTTCGGAAGCTGTACGCAACACACATTGTTGCTACTTTGACTACTGTAACAAAATTGATCTCATGGTACCCAGTGGTAAGTAGAATAATAGATTGAATATGAGAATGCTCTGAGTTTTTATAGGCAATTAAAGCAAGCCTGATTATTTTTATGCTGTAGTTATATCAGCCTTAATATATCCTGGTAATTATTTAGTTATTATTTATTTTTTCAATTTAAATAGTCATCTTAAATTCATGACTCTGGACCACTAACAGTGTTAAAAGAATGCATATAAATGTAATTAATTAAGAAGAAAAAATAAAAATAGAAACCATTGTAAAAACAAACCATCAATCACAGGTCAACATAAGCAGTGCATGGGATTCAGCCCAAATTTCTAACCCCCAGACTCGGTGACAAAACTAAGTCTTTGCAAGGGCTTACAAAACAGCTGATAGGGTCCAGAGTCAATTTAATCTCTACAGAAATTATATTCCAACAGTAGGTAAATAAAAAGAAAAGGCTCCCTTCCTGGATATTCCCAAATGGCATTCATTATTTTATGTACTTATTTATTACATTTCTACACCCCACTCTTCTAAGTGACTTGGGTGGTTTACAGCATCTTAGATAAAAAGCATAGTAAAGCAGCTGGATTTTTTTTTAAACACAACATAAGCTAATTTTAATATTTTTTTCCATGAGAGTTCATGTGCAATCTTCAGAAAAATATTTTAATACTTGAATTCTGTGGAAATATCTAAGCCTGGACAATATTGGAATTGGATTTATGTCAACAAAGATTGGATTTTAAAAGCTGGAATTGTATTTAATATTGAAGAGATTGTTTTGGAAAGTATATTATTGCATCTGTTTATAGTATCATTTTGTACCAAATATAATAAAAATTGGTGAAAAAATTAAAAGTACAGCCATATAAAATAATTAGTTGAACTTCTAATTAAATGTCACTTTCCATCATATTATACAGTCTCAGTCAGACAAGTTTTTAAAAGCCTATTCATTAGCTAGGTTGCAATATTAAATTCTATGAATTAAATTTTGTGGTAATACTACTATACACTCTTATGTGTAAAAAGTAAGAAATATTGTTGGGGAAGGGTTTGACTCCCCCTTGTGGCAGTATGTTTCATTGCAGCATGCATGAGTGATTTCAGAAAAATAATCTGCATTTAGAATATATGGAAATCTTTTAACAAAAATTACTGATATACTGTATGCTGAATAAAACATTTGGCATAAGGTTATTCCTTAACCAACTAGGGAAGATAAAATAGAAAATTGAAAGCAATGCTTAATACTATTTAAATAATCTTTGAAAAGTATAATGAAGTCTTCTGTCTTCCATATCGTACACTTAAGCTGATGTAAGCTTAAGTCTGTTTCCATAAGCTATGTTATCGAAAAGCCTCCACTGACAAATAAGTTCCTACTAGAGGTACTCAATCTTGGGGAGGTATTGCTTTTATTATATGTGGGTATATCTTCATATATATTAAATAAAAGAAAGCAGTAAGAAGAATTAGATTTTCAGTGATGAAATAATAGTGTTAACTTTCAACAGGAATATAGGACTATGAAAGAAGAAAGGTCTTATTATTTTGTTTAAAATCATTGGCCACACTACCACCCGCCATGTTCGTGAGTTCATTGAAGCCTGGCACTTCACAAACAATTCCATCAACAGACACATTGACCTACAACCAGCTTACAAACCATTCAGAATCCAAATCAACCACACAACCAACCAGAGACCGCACCAACCCTCAACCAACCCACGCAAGCTCCCTCCCCCCCCAGCAGTTCACTTTCCAATGACCCTGACCTGAAGTAATCTCCCCATCACAAGATCCACCACAAGCCTCTCACTGATGACTCACACCTGACCCTTATTTGACACAGCTATACCTGAAACCCTTATAAACAGAAGAGCACTGACACAGACATCCCCTAAACTCTGCTGAAGATGTTACCTAGCCTGGTAATGCAACGTTTGGAAGCCCAGCCCACAAGGTGGAGAATGAACCTTCACCCTCATCCTATACCCGAGCTACAGATATTCACCACTATTGCAAAACAATGTTCTGTTTATTGGCAATATGAGGAAAAGATAGGGAGAAACTATTAAAGTACTAAAAACATTTCAGCTTATTTGGTCTTTGCTGTTTGCAGTTACTTGTTTATATGTAATGCTAAACAAAAATTTAATGTTATGAACATGAATCCTGATTTCCTGTTTTTGGTGCAGCAGCAATGGGGGATAAGAGAAATATCCACTTCCACTTTTTTATGGTTTTGGTGTAATTACAAGCTTCCATTTTTAATCAGTAAAAATAAATGTTTCTGATTTCATTGTAGCTGAAGTACATGCATCCCTGAGACTCCAAGGCATGTCAATTCCTTTAAATGTTTATTATTGTAAAACTTTTAAAAATTTTCAATTAAAAAAAATGTTTATTCTTACTTTTCAATTGTATGCCTTCAAATCTATTGAATGTAGTCTCTATTATTTATTTTTTAAAAAAATCCTTAGATATATACTAGGTTTGAATTTGAAGCTTTTCTTTCTTGTCTTCCCTCTCCAGGACATTGGAAGGATAATGAAACTTCTTCAATCTGGGGACCTGTGGAGTTGGTGGCTGTGATCGCAGGGCCAGTCTTTCTTGTGTTCATCATTATGATTATACTAGTTTTTGTCTTCCATCACCATCCACGTATGTACCACAATCGTCAGCGGCTGGACATGGAGGATCCATCTTGTGAGATGTGTCTATCCAAGGACAAGACTCTGCAAGATCTAGTCTATGATTTGTCTACTTCTGGCTCTGGTTCAGGTATAATGTGTCTTTTATATAAAGATTTTTAGTTTTATTATAAACTTCAATATATAAATGTAATCTGTACTGTTAACCTAAGAATACCCATGCCTCCTAGAGTTTTTGCACAACTTCCACCTAAATGGCTACCCAAATTTTTTTTTTGTACTGGAGGTTGCTTCAGAGTGTTTGCCACAAACTGTAGCTGCAAGGTATTAAAAGCTAAAATTATACACTTCAAAATAAATTAACTATCATTTCTGTTTTGAAAAAGGCTTTTTGAGAAACAACAATAGAGGAATTTTAGAGGAGTCATTCTTGGTTTATACCTTCCAAACCCTCAATTTGGCATGCCTGATAAAAGTGATGGGAGGTGCAGTAGCCAAGCCTGAGACCTAAGTACTAGTGATGGAGTTACTTGCCCCAGCTCCTGCCACCTAGCCGTTCAAAAGCATATAGACACAAGTAGATAAATAGGTACCAACTTGGTGGGAAGGTCACCCTGTTCTGTGTGCCTCGGCCTATAATCATGGTAGCCCCATGACACAGAAGCATCTTCAGATAATGTTGGCTCTTCGGCTGTGAATTGGCGATGAACACCACCCCCTAGAATCAGGCGTGATTGGCAGCGGAAATGTTTTACCATTTTAATAAAGTGATTATTAAAATATATATTAACCCCAAGTTTATGATACCATAGCTGTGCCACCTAAATCTCAAATCAAGTATTCCAATAACCTGTTTCTTAAAGTCACCCAATCATTAATACATATCAACAGTAAGCAGAGAAATGCAGTTTTAGGTGCATTGTGTCACTGCCACCACGAGCAGCAGGAGACCGTGTGGATCGTTGCACCAATCATGCCAGTCCGCCACAAGTGGCAGGAGGCCCCAATGGCTTGTCATGCCCATTGCGCCACTGCTGCCACTCATGGCCTGCCACGAGCTATGGCATCAGCGTGCTGAGGAACGTGGCCTCCTGTTGTGAGCGGCGGACTGGTACAATCAGTGCAACAGTCATACGGCCTCTTGCGAGCAGTGGCAGCGGATGTACCACGTGATGTGCAGCCGGAGAAGAACTCAGGCAGCAGCACGACAGGTGTCAGGGTGTGGGTGGCCTGACTGCGGCGGTCCTAAGATAGTGGGTGCGGGGCATGTGGGGCAGCTCCACCCCCCACCTAGCTTGATGTTACATGTGCGCCTTGTCCCCAAACTAGGACTTATTTTGAGGATAGGGCTTATATTTGGCACATGCATAAATTTCAAGCTAGGGCTTATTTTTGGGATAGGTCTTATTTTTGGGGAAACACAGTAGTATACCTCTATGGCAATGTCATTTTTGCCCCCTTTTATATTGACCCAAATGCATTCAAGACAGTTTCCATCATTGTTGTGCTCTATTTCTGTAGAGATGTAGTTATTTCATATATATAGTGCAACTCCACTTCCTCTCTTATTTGGTCTGTTTCTTTTAAATAACTTAAATCCCTCTGGCTGCATGTTCTATGTGTGGGTTTCATCCCACCAAGTTTCCGTAATGGCAACAATATCATATCTGCCTTCATTTACTTGAATTTCTAGTTCACCCTGTTTATTGTTCATACTCTGTGTGTTGGTGTATAGACATTTGAGTCCTTTTTGGCTGACCCTGTGTTTACTTTCTACATAACCTATTTGGTGCCTGAGTTCCCCTACTTCCTTACCACCTATTTGATTAGTCTTGGTATAGCACTCACTATTATAAGCTTGATTTTACTTGACAGCAAGATTGATATTCTTACCCGCACAAACATCTGTGTTACATGCACTTATAACCCTATTAGTTTTAGATTGCTGGGGACAGTAATGTTCTATATGTCCCCGTTGTTTAGTTTAAATGTTTCTCCAGAAAGTCTGTGAATTTAATGCCAAGTAGTCCCTCTCTTTTGTACAGTTTTTCATTGGACCAGCTGCAGACATCATGACTAATATAATCAAAGCCTTCCCCTTTACACCACTCCTTTAGCCACACATTGAACTCTGCTATATGCTGGCATTTTCCTTTTTGTTCCTTATATACTGATAAAATCTCTGAAAAAGTAAGCCTACAGCCTATCCTACCAAGTTCCTGTCCCAAACTCTGGAAATCATTCTGCACAGAGAGTACATCTTTTTGGAACAGATCATTCGTGCCAAGATGTACAATAGCATCAACATTACAGTCTTTATTGGCATTCTTGAATACCTTAAAAATATGCCTCTACTGGCAGTAGCACCTGGCAGATGCCTGACCTCTTTCAAAACCTCCATATCGTTTCCTAAATTTACATCCCTTATAATTGAATCACCAACCAGAAGGTGGCTTCTCTTTTTGGATGCCTTGCTTTTCTTGCATGACTGGTGTGTAATATCTGATTCACACTTTCCCCTATCCAAAACAAGTTCTTCATCTTGGACCACGATTCCCTGCTTATTTGAGTTACCATCATCACAAGTATCTTGACTTGCCTCCTTAGTGTGTCCCTATTAAGGTCAGCAAGGGCATTGTATCTGTTATGCAGGGACACAGTGAAAGCTTTGTGTTTATGGTTCACAGCTCTCACCCTGCCAGATCCTACGGTTGTCCATACTGCCCTTCTCCTGCAGGATCGTTGTGCTAGAGGGGGCTGATAGCATGGCAGCTCCATAGAGCAGAATGGCTGAGTTGGACACCTAATTTCTGCTTGAAGAGCACAGACTAGAGACTCCAGTGGTTAGAATGCAGTATTGCAGGCTAATTCTGTTCAATTCTCACCGACTCAAGGTTGACTCAGTCTTCCATCCTTCCGAGGTAGATAAAATGAAGACCCAGATTGTTGGGGGCAATATGCTCACTCTGTAAATCTCTTAGAGAGGACTGTAAAGCATTGTGAAGGGGTATATAAGTCTTATAAATCCACTTGATCTGTGCAATCTAGTTAATAGCACCGTCTAGTGTCTACAAAATAAATTGCAGCTGGGAACAGTACCAGAAATATAAAGGAAAAGATAATAGAAAACGTCTCAGATTGTTTATATGTCCACTCCAATCAGCCCAGGATTAAATACAAAAATGAAGTATTCTCAATTCCCATGTTTCTTTAAAAGAAAGGCAACCAGTAGTACAAACGTTCAGAGTCCAATATCCTGGTCCAATTTTTAAATTATAGTCAGAGAAAAACTGAGAAGCTTCAAAACAAAATACTTTTGCAATTAGCTGGTGAGTTGAGTAAAGATGTAGGGTTTATTTCAAGTTTGAAGGTGTGGTGTACCTGGAAAAAAAAGACCCTAGGACTGACACATACACATACCCATCCATTTCTAAAATATTTTATATATATTTAACCTAAGAGAGGCTTTCTTTAATAACAGTAATAGTAGTAGTAATAGTAGTAGTAGTAATAATAATAATAAATAAAACATCAGATGTTTTTGCTTTGACAGTAAATATATGAAAAACTGAGCTTCAAAATATTTCAGTGTTTTAGGGCAAATTGCAATGGTTAAAAATGAAAACTCTTGCATGGTTTAACATTTTATTTCAATGCCTCCCAGTGGTAATTCCAGAACAGGCTTTAAGATACTGAAAAAGAAATAAATAAAGAGTATTGGCAGCTAACCACAGCAGTCAAAGTTATTTATGTCCAAAGGAGTTCTAGTTCTAGGGCCACATATTTCCTTGGCTTAACTATTAACTGCTTCTGTTAACATGAATCCTCAATAAGAGATTTGGGGGGGGGGATAGAATTTCACATTGATATCTGGTATAATTATTATCAGATGTGTGTGTACTTGAAGGGGGATAAAATCAAGGTGAGCTTGCTGTCCTTGTCATTGACTTCTGCTTTGCCTCTGTTTTCCTCCTTCATTCTCTGCTTTCAGGCTTGCCACTGTTTGTCCAGCGTACTGTGGCTCGAACAATTGTCCTCCAGGAAATCATTGGCAAAGGTCGCTTTGGGGAAGTGTGGCGTGGCCGATGGCGTGGTGGTGATGTAGCTGTGAAAATTTTCTCATCACGGGAAGAGAGATCGTGGTTTAGAGAAGCTGAAATCTATCAAACAGTCATGTTGCGCCATGAGAACATTCTAGGATTTATTGCTGCAGACAACAAAGGTATTTTGTTGCTTTGATGTTCCAGTAAACAAACAAATGCTTCAATTGCTTTTGAAGCCTAATATTGATGTATGGTAGGTTCATACTTTGCACTAAAATCTAATTTTCCTTTTTTTTAATGTGTGATTTAGCATGTACTACAAAAGAGGTGACCTTGAAATTAAGACTTGTCCCCTTAGCATGATCTGTGAATATGCTTTGAGGTCTGTGGCTTCTTTGCTTATTCCAGGTTTGCCTTATCTTACCAATCTGCAGAGTATGTCAAAACAGCTTTAAAAGGGGGGGGGGAGGCAGAAAACACAGTGGTTATCTTTGCTTGTTCATAGGCTTGACTCTGAACTGTTTACAGCAGTGTTTAAAACCACAACTACATGTGATTTTGAATTCAGTTATTGTGTATTAATAATACAGCAATAGCTATTATATGTTGCTTTGAATTAAAACCCAATTAATAAGCTGCATGATAATTTAGCAATAGTGATAAAATGTGTGTATCTGTTAGCTGTATTGATACAATATCCTAAAACATTATAGAACATTTTATATGCTAGGAAATTAGAAATAGTAGCATAGATTTTTGGCAGGTAATTTGGGGGAGAGGAGCTTGGATAGAAATAAAAAAATTACTTTTACTTAAGAGCTGGGGATGTAAACATTGAAGAAAAAAGGAACAATGTCAGATCGGCTTTAAGAGCAAGAGGGAATACATATTGACAACAGGAAGAGGTGGCTGAGGAAACTTGAAACACTGGAGAATTGTCAAAAATCCAAGGTGGTAATGAATTGGGAGTTCTACCTTATGTTAAGGTTTGCATACAGGAGAACAGCCAGGACATTTTTTTGTCATTACAATAGACTGAGACAACATTGTATAATTAAAAAGTTATCTCTTGTGGATTTCATAAACAATTTAGGGATTACTTTTATTATCCTAACCTAAAATATTCTAGAATGTTAGCCCTTAGGTATTTAAACATTGGTTTGAGCTAAACATCTATCACACAGGAGGAAAGTACATCCCTCTTACATAGAGACTTGGTTATAGCGTGTAAGAAATTGGAATGATGAATTGTTAATCTCTCAGACTACTTTCACCATCACAGAGACGGCTTCATCCAGGAAAAATACAACTGCTATAATGGCTTAGACTGCAGGATGCAGTGAAAAGCAACTGGCACTTCGTTTCACTTCCTTCTTTCATATAAACTGCACAAACAGTTTTTAGCTTCTAGTAAGCAACTATTATAAGAAAAAGAAACTGGTCATGTTAACATAATTGCACTGTGTAATTCAAGCTACGATTGACAATTTCCTGTCTAGAACATTACATTCTTCCTTGGGATGGCAACCAGTTCTTAAAGTTTAATTGATTACTTTCATAAAAGTAATTTTTATCAGATCTACATTTGAAACTGTGGAAAGGAATAATCTCACAAAAGCTTTTAAAACTCTTAGTTTCTGAACTTCACCACCTTTGGGATTGTCTCTTATTGTTTCTTTTATTCCTTTGTCTTGAATGTGAATGCGAGACATTCTAACAAAATATGTTTGATGATGGCTTGGTGCTAGATTAGCTCTTAAGTTTTGCTTCCTTCATTCTGCTCATTACATTCTCATACCTGGAAACATACCCAGTCAAAAAACAGAAACCAACACTGAGAAACGGATCTGACCTTGTATAGTTCATGCAAATTTGTTAAGTTTATTAGGAAACACTATGAATGTCTGCTTTGGTTATCATTATTTACAATGTTCACTATGTTATGAATTCAAGACTAAACAATATTAAAATAACTTGGCAGTTTAATTACATTCAAGTGTATACTCTGAGGCACAGTTAACATCTATAAAAGTATCCGGAAAAGGACATTATTTTGAAGCTCTTCAAGCTTCAATAATCTAATGCTATATGAAATGACAACATTCCTGCACATTAGTTCTTATCTGCCTTCTAGTGGAGCAAAGACTGACAAACCCAGTGATGGCGAACCTTTTCGAGACCAAGTGCCCAAAAACTGGCCCTGCCCCGCTCCACCCCCTGCCCCGCCCCCACCCTGCCTGCCCGCAGGGCCACTCACCGCCTCCAGTGCCCGCCGCAGATCGCCATGGCAGCCCAGCAGCTCCATGGCAGCCACGCCCTCTGCCCGCGCCTCATAGCATCAACTGCACAATGGGGCGTGAGGGCAGAGTCTTCTCTATGCTGCCTGGTTGCCATGTCCTTGGCTGTGCTGCTCCGCGTGGGCCACGCTCGGGGGCAACTCTCCTCCAGGGGGGCTGCTGGTGAGTGGGTGGCAGGGGGAGGCAAGGCTGGGGCAACGGCACGTGTGCCTACAGAGAGGACTCCGAGTGCCGCCTCTGGCACGCGCGCCATAGATTCACCACCACTGGCTTAAGCATTATTATCCTCTGCTTTTATGATAAAACAAGCTATCTTTCTGCCTTTTATAGACCCAAAAGCAGTCTGCAATCACTATTCTGTGGAGAGGAGTATATAGGCCTGGATTAGTTAGCTGCATTGTACAGTGGCAAATCTGAAAACAAAAACTGGGTACAGACCATCTGAGATATTTTTATAATGTTTATTAAAATTTACATAAACAAATATACACAAAATATATACAAACTAAGGGAAAAGGGGAAAAGTGCAAGGAAAAGGGGAAAAAATAAAGAGATATGCAAAGACTTCACCAAGACCAGTATAATTTCAGTAACTTATCAACTTTTCCATATAACAACAAAAAATGTTCCATATCTCGTTGCTTGCCTAGAAACAAAATTTAAAGCTTTTTCATTCAGTCCCAATCACAAAATCCATTGTTATGAGAAAAAAACAACATATATATTTTTACTTTAATCAAATAAATGTTTCATATTATTTTTCTTTTTAACACGATACCTTATCACTTTTTCTGAAAATGCAATAAAAAATACCTTGTTCCCATATATTATCTCATATCTACAGTATAAATAAATCTTTAAAAATCTCTTTTTCATTGAGTCCCATTCAAGGAAAATGCATTAAGAACTACCAGAAACAACATTGTATGTATTCTAATCTTGATCAGATAAGCCAACTTTATATTCCTTCCCTTTAAAAAAAAATCCTGATCTTTAATCTCTTTAAATAGTATTCCAAAACTTGAAGTTTAACACATCTCTTTTGTAAATCCAAGGTAAGCAGTTATTCAAATCACTCGCCTTTCCTACAGTTCCTAGAGCTCTAAAACCCACCAGCACAACTGTCTTACCTATCTCCTTGTGGGGAGCCACTGTATAGAACAGGGGTCCCCAACCCCTGGTCCACAGCCCAGTGCCATGGGTTGGGGACCGGGCCGCAGAAGTGGCAGGCAAGCGTGCAAAGTTGCATTTACACAAGCGTTGCGCACACATGAAACCATCCCCTCCCTCTCCCCCACTGCCTGTGGTCCGCAGAGCTGGAAAGGCTGGGGACCGCTGATATAGAGAATTAATGGGCCATCCCAGGTTCTCTCTTTATGATCCATTCACCAGCTCCTCATTCTACTGTGGTGGTCAGCTCTACTCTCCACGGAATGCTATTGCTTCTCCAGATGTTCCTGTTTCTCTTCTCCCTTCTCTCTCCTTATTTCCCATCGGTCTCTATCAGAGGGCATGTTAACCACATTTTCTGGGGCAAGGATGAGAAAGAGGAAATCATTGCCAAGTCCAATCTCTACCATAATATTTTGATTATTGTGAGGACTAAACTGTGAAGGGAAAATGAATCTACAGTACAAACTTGCTTTAGTATAAATCCCACAATAAATAGCTACACAGATGGAGTTAAAATATAACTTATTTCTGAACTAAATAATGAATAGTAATGAATCTGCTGCTCTTCAATGACATCTAAAAAAACTATTGTTATTTTCTTTTTTTCAGTACATTTTTCTTTTTTTCTTTTTTTGTATTGCCAACAGATAATGGCACTTGGACACAACTATGGTTGGTCTCTGATTACCATGAGCATGGATCTCTGTTTGATTACCTCAACCGATATACTGTAACTATTGAAGGGATGATTAAATTGGCTCTGTCTGCTGCCAGTGGCTTGGCACATCTGCACATGGAAATTGTGGGGACTCAAGGTAAGGGATACAGATGTACATTTGATAATGAACGGTTGGAAAATTAGAAAACCAAGCTTCTGTTATTGATAGATATGAGCTGAAAAAGAGAATAAATTCTTTTGATATAAAGTGATTCATTGACTCTAAGAACAGCAATAATGATAATTTTTAAACTTGTGTGCTGCCCAGTTCTCAATGATTCTGGGTCATTCAAGATAAACAATAATTTTTTACAATAAAATCAATAAAAGATGCCAAGCACAACAGACTAGGAGAAACGAGGCAAGGGATCTCATTCTTATTTGCTAAAGGCCTGGGTCAGGGGTGTCAAACTCATGACGTTGCGCAACGTATCGGGCCGGTTTTGCCATTGCCGGCAATGGGGTGGGCGCGGCTTCAGTATGATGAAACCGGCCCGTGGGGCAGCAGTTTGACACCCCTGGCCTGGGTGAAGAGCCAGGCGTTTGTGGCTCCTCAAAACAACAGAGTGGAGGCCAGCGGGATTTCAGGGAAAAAGCATTCCAGAGAGTTTGCTACAAAGAAGATGCCCTTCTGGGGTCCCAATTGATGATATTGTTTAATCAAAGGAACCTGGATTACGCCAACCTTGCTGGATTGAATTAGCCTTTAGGTTAACATTGAAAAGATTTAGAAATCTGATATTGTTTATTTAAGAGGAAGAGATGTTTGGAATATGTGGAGCTAAAGTTTCCTTTTAACAAACTGAGGTTAAGCATAGTTTCTTTTATTTGAAGTAATGAGGAATTATACTTTAAGGTAATCAGGACTGATGTGCTAAGGAAGGATGTAAATGAGAATAGATAATTCCAGTTCTTCATCCTGCATTTTAAATGGTGATTTAACAAGATGGAAAAGGCATATACTGTCCAACTGTCTTAATCTAGGAAGAATTGGCAGTAGAAGACCTATTCAATTTACATTGTTGAAGTTGGATAAGAGATCTTGCTTTTTTCCTTCAGATAAATTATACTTTCTAGATCTCATATGAATATTGCCACAGCTTAACCAAGTTTTTTACATTGCACTCTCTTTTTTGTTTTTTCTTGACCAAAGTGTATAAACAGAATTCACTCTCATACTTTATTAGGAAAACCTGGGATTGCACATCGTGACTTGAAATCCAAAAATATATTAGTGAAGAAGAATGGCACTTGTGCCATTGCAGACCTTGGTCTAGCTGTCCGCCATGATTCTGTAACTGATACAATTGATATTGCCCCTAATCAGAGAGTTGGAACAAAACGGTGAGTATATATATGAGCTGACTGGGTTGGGTAGATCAAGATACATCTGGTAATTTTGAATGCTTCCTTTCTCTGTAGCCTTTTGGCTGCATCATTGTTAGAATTGTATTTTCTTAGCCATTAGCCGTTAAATCTAATTAGTTTTTTCAACATGCATCATTAGGATTGGATATTGGGTGAATCAATTACAGCATTAAATTACTTCTGAAATTTAAAGAGTTCCCCAATAAGGTACTTTACATCATAAAACATTTTTAACAAAATCATGTGCATTAGAAATGTAATTAACATTTCTATAAACCTGAGCGGTTCATTAAATGGTGAATTGTTGAAGGAGAATAATCTATCTTTAATGATAGCTGAACAATATTAATTAGGCAACTGCCTTTTATCTATATGAACTATATACTTAAAATTTGCATTGTGTTTTAATATGTTCTTTCAAAATGATTTCCAATAAATTATTTGGGATAATCCTTAATATCCTTAGTGTAAAATATTGTGCTTTGTGTATTTCAACAAGTTTTTCTGGCAACCATATTTCTTGTAGATCTAAATCTAATCACTCACGACAGTACGGTATTACAGAGCAGACAACTAAATAATCTGACAAACGAGAGAAAGTTTTGTACAGGGGTAGTCAACCTTGGCTCTTTTATGACTCGTGGACTTCAACTTCCAGAATTCCTGAGCCAGCTGTGCTGGTTCAGGAATTCTGGGAGTTGAAGTCCACAAGTCATAAAAGAGCCAAGGTTGACTACCCCTGGTTTTGTAGAATGATTGCTTGTGTTCCTATTCTTGCTTCACCTTTCCTGCCAATAAAACTTTACAGTGCTGCTAACTAGCAAGACAAAATTATCTTTCTTTTCAGCTTTTGTTGGTAAGCATTTTAAAATATGTTGTTAACAGAAAGTCAAATAATATAAAAAAATCCTTAAATATTATAGGCTTTCCTCAAAAGTTGTTGAATGAATTTTTGTTCTCATTCACAATAGACGATAGATGCATAGTTTTCTGTATATGTGACATATGTGAAGCATATGTGTCTCAAATAGATGCCATTAATCTGATTGTTCTTTTGCTACAGTTACATGGCCCCTGAGGTTCTTGATGAAACAATAAACATGAAGCATTTTGATTCATTTAAGTGTGCGGATATCTATGCCCTTGGCCTGGTTTACTGGGAAATTGCTCGCAGGTGCAACTCAGGAGGTAATAGATTCCCTCCCTCCCTCCCCCTCTCTCATAAAAGTTAAGAGTTTCCTATTGGCTTCAGATCTTACAATTCTGTACATTTCGATGCAAAGGAAGTAAAGTTGCTGATTCAGAATCTGATTTTTTCCCCACTGATTTTGCATTGTAGTCAGACTTTCCTTTAATAGGTTTGAATGATAGTCATTGGTTCAAACCACAAAGCTATAGTTCAGGATTAACGTTATTATTTTTTCCTGTTCTCTTTGATATACTAATTAACAGAGGTAGTAAGTCATGAAGTATTAATAAAAAAAAAATCCCTCCTTAATCTGCTTGACTGCAGAATGTATTCCAAACTAAGGTAATTTTTTTACTACATTTTTATTGATCAATTGTGGGGATTATTTAATTCATTTTTGTCATCAACTGAAAAACAATATCATATTTTAGATGGAAATAAGCAGGAGCAGAAAATAGAATATGGGCCATAGCTGCTTCTGTATATGCTTAGTAAACATATTATTTAAGCTTACTCACATAAATGGAAAAGAAGAAGGACAAGAAATATAAATTTTCCAGACTCAAAATTTTCCACATCTGGAAAGTCTGCTAAAAGTACATTGCATCTGCATATTACTATTTCAACATCTCAATAAACGTACATACAGCAAAGTTTTTTTAGTGTCTATGCACGTATTGTTTGGACCTCATTAGAATAAGGTTAAATTTATCACGTCAAATAGTATAATTGAAATGCTTACACACACTGTAGATATTAAGATGAATATGCTAATTGGAATGATACTCATTTGTATAAGAAAAAATCACAATGGTATACAGCAAAAAAAAGTACACACTAAAAGTTAAATTAGACAAAAAGAAGATCCATGATAAAGAAGAAGATATGCCTTATGAAGAAATGAAGATTTTGCAGTCAGACAGCTTAATCAAATAAATTAAACTGAATTAGACAACAAAGGATAACTTAAATATAATGAATCAAAAGGTGGTCTTTTCCATAGATCATTTTTTAAATTGCCACACTTTAGAATAAGATAAAATAATTATTCTGCCACGGACTAATAACAAAACTCTTTAATCTCAGGGATAATACTAATAACTTTGATTTAAAAAGGATTCAAATATAATTGAAATGTTAAAAAGCTAACTCAGATACCAGTGTTGTTAGTACTTTGTAAGAAAGTATTGAAATCAGAATTTTGGTATAACAAAGAAACTGCAGAAGTAGTTGTAAGATTAATTTTGCTAGAGCAAGTTCCTGTTTTTAAAAACTGTCTTTTTTATATTATACAAATTAGGTACTTTTAAAAAAATATCAGTAGATAAGAAATATTAAGTTCAAGAGCGTTTTTTAAAATTTTATATTTGTTTGCTTATTTTTATGCCAAAATAATTCTTAAGTGGTGTATATAATAAGATAGGCAATTAATCTCTCATTGAAGATTTTTGTGCAAGATACAAACTGTGTAGTAACTGTTAAGTATATGTCGTTCTTTATTCAGAAAAATCACTGGATCCCAAATTCAGAAGGTGAAATGAATATAAAAATGTTTTAAATTTGTGTTTAAAAAGGAGGGAAAGAGATTTTGTTCACTGTTATCATGATATGTAATATTGAAAAATAGTTTGGAAAGCTATTATAGTGATATTTATGAGGAAAGCAGTAGTGAAATCTAAGATGATCTTAATAATTATATTGTGAGAAATCTAAAGAAAAATAGTTTCATATACTTATGATGGATTGGATAGTATATTCTGTATGTTGGAAAACCCTCAACTACCAAAACTGAAAGACTAATATATTACTTCTAGGTTTAACTTAGCCATTATTTATAATCTCCTTAGAAAAAAAATATTTTTAATGCACTGTTAAAGTTAAGAATATAATAGTGAATAATAATTTTCTTGTTTTTTCTAGGAGTATATTTTCCATGTAATAATTGCTAGATATATATAACTCCTTTTTTCTTATTTTCTATATTGCTTCCTATGTTGGTAATCATAAATATTGAAAGTTAAAAGAAGCAGGCCACAGACTCTCAGGTGTTTTTCCTGTGCACATATTATTGTTATTATATAATGTTTATATTTTATTACTGAAAACCAATATGCACACATCATCAGATATCAGGTTCACTGCTAAGTTCCATGTTGTATTATACTTCCTGCTCCTTTTGCAGGCTGTTCATCCTATATCATTAATGCTACTATGCCTATGTAAAAGATATTTTCGTAAGAAATAATAGCTTGTTTCTCTTTTTTCCTTTTTAGGTATTCATGAAGAATATCAGCTCCCATACTATGACCTTGTGCCCTCTGACCCGTCCATTGAAGAAATGCGAAAAGTTGTATGTGAACAGAAACTACGACCTAACATTCCCAACTGGTGGCAGAGTTATGAGGTACAGTTGATCTTGAAAATTAAAAAGCATGCCATAAAGCATCATTCTTAATATAGTATTTGTCATATTAGCTAGAGGGGAACGGAAAGCTTCCGCAAATTGTTGGCATGAAATCTTGGTAGCAGTTGGATAAAGAACTCCAGATATCAACTCATCCTCTGTTTTTACTGTATTTTGTACTGAAGTATTTTATTCTGGCTTTTTGAATAAGGTCTGTGCAATATATAGGTGAATCCAGACATACAAAAAGTAATTTCTGCTAAATATATTAAAATTCTGGCTTTGATTATAGTTCTAGCCAGTCAGATAAAAATGGACTAGGTTATACATTGCACTAAGCTAAGGTTTGCATAATTGTGGCATTTTGAATAACATACATTGGATTCACACATTTCAAGCCAAACCAAGCAGACCACGTTATAGCCAGACATGGTATTTAAACACAACTATTTTTTCAAATTTTCTTTATTTGTTTGTAGAAAGATATAAATAAATAGTCTACATGCAGAAGACAAAACTCAAGTGAAGATTTCAGATTTAGAGTGTTAAAAAGAAATTGGATTGGCTCTGGCTTGGTTTTCATGTAATACAAAACCAACCCCCCCCCCCAAATTATAGCATATTTAACAAACCAGTTTTTAAAAACAGCTTTGAATTCTGTGGAAATGCAGTTAGTGACAAAAAATGTCTTTTTCATGATTGTGGAAGACAAATCTTTGCTTCTTTTTAAGAGGCAATTGGCAAACACTGAATTTTATTTTGACCAGATTTTTTTAAAAAAAATCCTATTAAAAAACTTAAGTTGCCACTGCAGTTTTAAATGCATACTAACAAAAAAAAAAAGCACAAAGTAGCATCATAAGCAACCTATTCTTCATAGATTTTTTTAAAAATTGATTTGATCTACTTAAAAGAGATTTCTCCTGATGTCGTTTTTCCCCTGTTCCCAGGCTTTGCGAATTATGGGGAAAATGATGCGAGAGTGCTGGTATGCCAATGGAGCAGCACGGCTAACAGCCTTACGGATCAAGAAAACTCTTTCTCAACTCAGTATCCAGGAAGATGTGAAAATTTAGACTGCAAGCCCTGTCTTGAGGAAAGTGCACAAAAAGCTGCCATGCAAGAATTGATGTGGTGAAGAAGGCCTACCTCGTCTTTGTATTCAGCCTGCTGCTATCAACTGGACAGCTTGGCCTGCAGGTGGCCAGGTGAGGAGGATCGACATTAGAGACTTCACTCATTTCCTCATTTAAGAGTGAAACGCATCTTTTTTGAATTCCCTTTTGAGAAGCATTCTGAGGGGCTTGTATAGGAGAATGTCCGTCACAATATAACATTGTTTCTCTTATGGAAATCCCTGTAAATTTGAGTTATGTGCTGATTAGGGAAAGCCTTACGGCTTGGGAGAAGAAGATACTTCCTTGTGGATTAAAAAGTGTGGCAAGGGGAAGGTTTCGAGGACTGACACGTACACACAGGCACCTTATGTGCACTTTGTCTGGCTATATAGTGGCCCTTTTCTAGCTCAACAGATCCTAAGCCAGAACTACAGAGCGTGCATGTGCAAAGGTATGTGTCCCTTTGCCCTGTAGATGTGTATTGTGTCTGCTTGTGCTCCTGTGCATGTTGAAAATGTAGTGTGTCCTTTTGTGAAGTGCAGGTGCTAATTCCCTATTTCTCACTAGTTGATAATTAGCTGTCTTCTTACAGAGTAGGGTTCTGCCCTGCTAAATAGTAGACTTTTGGGGGGCACTGTACAAATGGTTCCACTGCCATTCTTCTCTTTTTTTTTTTTAAAGCAGGGAAAATATTTTTGATTGTGCGTGTTTGTTTTCTTAGTTTAAAATTCTCCCATAATGGGTAGCAATGATTAGCAAGCAGAAAGAATTGTGGGTATCTGCTGAAATTGGTGCTTTCCTAGTTAAAGAAAGGCAAACAAAATTGAACATGTGGGATCATTGCCCTTCCATTTCTCAAGGTGCCTTTGGCAGAACAACTCCGGTGTTTTACATTTCTCTACCGAATGAAATGGCTATGGAGAAATATGCACTCAGAGACTTCCTGGCAACATTTGTCCTTTCAAGGAACAATGACTGCAAAATAAAGCTGATGTGTGTGTGCGTGTGTGTGTACGTACGTTTATGTGTATATAGATAGATAGATAAATATAATATGATCTCCCTTATTCTGGAAGCTACTTTGTGTCACTTGGGCATGGGGTGGGGTGGGGTGGGGTGGGGTAGGGAAGAATTGGGAATGGATTAACTGCATGCATTTTGTTTGAATTAAATGATCAGGGCATAGTAGGACTGATTAGGCTGTCACATCGTTTTGTGGGGGGGAACAGCCTGAGATTGTATTGTGATGCAAATAATGCATTAGAAACTCCATTATGTGTAGATTGGGTGTTTGATAGATAACTCCTGAAGCCATAACTTTTAACTGGAGTGGTTTGATTAATTTTTTTAATTCTTATTTTAATGGAGGGGCTGGATTTTAACTTTTTTTACTATTGTTTATAAAATAGATAATTACCTCTCATTTGTTTATAAAGAAATCACTGCAAAAAAAAAAGAGAAAAAAACTGAGAAATGCACACAGCTCAATTTTACACTGGAACTGTTTCTATACAAACCATGAGCCCTTGACTACTAAGAGGAGGAGTTATCCCTTCTTGGACAGGGGATTTTATAAGAATATAAAATATCCTGTATTTGTTTGTCAAAATAGGCATGTGTCTTTCCTTCCCTCTCCCTTAACCTTTCTTGTGTCTTTGATTGTATTATATACATTGCAGAGTTGCATTGTGTATTGGAGTCAATTTGATATGTTCCTTTAGGTCTGTAACAAGTTGTAGCTTCCTTTAATGCTGTGTTTTGAAAATCTCAGGCGCTTTTGTTTGTAGGCATATGTGGGATTTGTGCTTCTGATTGTAAAACTTGCCTTTTTCTGTTATTTTGGTCTGATCATTTCTGAGCCAGAGACCACCACAAATCTCTAGCAAAGGGACACCATTTACTAAAAATCTTCCTCGCATTTCTGATCTAAAGTAAAACGCACCTTGAAATTTATGTTAATCATATATTTTCATAAATAAATGGCATCTATGATTGCTGGAGTTGGACTTGAGAACAACGTATCACGAAGATTTACACTTGGAGCTCAGGTAACGGAAATGTTCATGTGTATAATTTCACTGTCAAATCCACCTCCAATTAAAAAGAGCCATTTGATTTTCATAGATAAGTTGAAGATTTTAAGTGATAGACATGAAATTAATGAGGCTAAAAAGTGTGTACTTCCCTTAAATATATTTGTTTCCAAATATTCCCAAGTGGTAAATAATTTTGCCAAAGCGTGTGTCCTATTTGTACTGCACACTTCTTGACATTTTATTCCTAGATCTACGTGTTAGAGGCAGAGAAACCTGTTTCACATGAAGTCAATTTAAATTGGAGTAGAATTCCCCCAATTATGCCTTATGGTAATTTGCTACAAATATTACATCAGTTGCTTCCTTCTCAGAATAAATCAGTTCTAGTTCTGCATGAAAGGCTATTTATTTAATAGTGCTTGTAATCTGCTCGAATCCCATAAGAAACTGGGGTATGTACAATATCAAAACAAAAAAAAACCCAACCTATAACAATAGCTAAATTCAAATACTTATCGATAACAAAAAATAACTACAGAGAGCAGAAATAAAAAGATAGACGGTCATCCAGATCAAAAGTGCACTGAAATAAAATAGCTTTAACCTGTTTACAGAATTGCACTAGGTGGGGACTGCATGTACTTTTGCGGAGAGAAAATACCCTGAGTTGGAGTATATTGTAAACCTCACAAAGGAACTGAATTTTCACAGACCCTTGATGACTAAACCAGTGAGCAGATTCACTGGTATAATACTGCTTGTATGTGTCCTACCATGTGCCATTTAGGGCTCTACGGCTAATGGCCAGCACTTTGAATTGGGCCCAGAAGCTTACCACCTACCTATGCAGGATCTTTAGGTGTAATTCTGGCTAGATGGGGCTATCTTGCCAATAATCTTACTGCCACATTTTGTATCAGGTACAGCTTCCAGATTGTCTTCAAAGGCAGCTCATAATACACATTGCAGTAGTCAAGTAGTAATCAAAATATGAGTTACTGAAGACAAGGCATCCTGTTCCATGTAGGATTGTAAATAGTACAAAGCCATCCGACCACAGTTTCCACCAGCCATTTAAGAAGGAATTGTGAATCCGCATGGATCACAAATTGACAACCACATCCTTCAGAGGGAGATAATCCAGTCCAGAGTGGTCTACTGACCATTATCAACTCTGTCTTACAGAATTTGATGTGAGCTTACTCCATCCAAACTTCATAGATACTGATTCAAAACTTCTATAGGCTTGTGAAGTATAATTGAACATTGGTGTCCTTAGGGTTCGAAGAAGACATGTTTTCTAGTTCATCTGTGGACAGAGGTGGTTCTGCAGTCCAGTCTAGCACAATGAGGGCAATGGAAATCCATTGTTGTAGTAAGTGTGGGTGTTATTCTCTGATGCTGCCCACAGTTTTTATCAGTTTTCAATGGCGCCTTATCTTCAAAGCTGGTGAAGACTTCATGGCTTGCCAGCATGTTCTGTCATTAGTTGTGGCTTCTAGTTCCCATGGTTAGGTGTCACCCTGGCCTAGGGTTTCTTTCACAGTGTCTTTGTAGAGCTTGCATAGTTGACATTGAGGTCTCTTCCCTGACTCCAGTAGAGCAATTGGCAAGGCATACAGCCGTCATCCATGCTGAGGACATATCCCCCCCATCTCCTCCGATAATCAGGAACTCAGTGCTGGTGGACTCCATATAATCCAGAACCTCCAGATTGGAAACTGTCTTGCCAATGAATGCCAAGGATTGATTGGAGAACTCATATGTGAAATTTCTCCAGTTTGATGTATCTACGATACAGAGTCCAGGACTCACATTTATATAAGAGGGATGGGCTAACCACGGCTCTGTAGACTTTTTGCTTCATGGAGATATGGATGCTGTATTGATTGAGCATTCTAGTACACAGCCTCCCCAGTGCTTGACTATCCATGCTGTTCCTGGAGTCAATTTCTTTCTCCAAAGAACCATCACTCAAGATGACACTTCCAAAGTATTTGAAGCTTACATTTGTCAGCTTAGCTTGAGCCAGCAAATTGCCTGTTCCATCAGTTTCATATAGATTTTAAACAACACGGAGCCCTGAGGGATCCCACACTGAAGCTTCATGGATTCAGGTGCATCTCCCCCAAATCCTTGACAGACCACACTCTCAGGTAGGAGCAGAACTACTGTAAAATGGTGCTTCAAACTCCCTGTAAGAAGGACACCATGGTATTTTTGGTGGCAATGTACACTGCTTAGTTCTGATAAAACCAAGAGGAGCATAGTCCCCTCACCCCATCTGCATCTGAAAGAAGATTATCTATCAGGAAAACCAGTGCCATTTCTGTCCCATAACCAGGTGTGGATCCTGATGAAAAGAGTCCAGATAATTTGCTTCCTCTAGGATCTTCTCTAGCTAATTACCCACTACTCAACACCCTTTCCTAAGAAGGGTAGATTACATATATAGGGCAAACTTTATCAAGCACAGCTGAATCCATTGTTTTCTTCTTCAGTTACCCCCTTCAAAGCAGGCAGCATCAGTTCTCTCAAGCATAAATAACATCTCAGATCCAGCTGATCACACCCTATTTAGCCACCCAAAGGAGTCAGTACAGACATGAATCCAACATAATGGTGGGTGATCAGACTACAGAGGATTCTATCTGCTTCCTTGGATTCCACAAACTCAAAATAATCCAGATGATATCTGGTGGCACCCCAGGCTGCAAAATAGGCTCTGCCTTCCTAGCATCCATCCAGAGAGGACAGGAGCCATTTTATTCATAAAGAAACCCTCAAATTAATCTAGCAGAACTGGACTCTTGAGCATTTATTTATTTTTTGCATTATCATGACAAACTAAAAATGACCAAAGAGTTGTTTCTAAATGGAAAACAGGAACATTTGCTTGATTTCAGACTATAGGCATATTCAAGAAAGGGCCTTCAAATTGCACCATTTTAATAAAGCAGAGTTGGATACTTCTTTAAGATATTTTTTTGATGTGCCTATATCACACTAATGATGTGATAGTTAACTACTGCAGTTGGAATTTTTGACTAAGAGGAGAAAATATCCTGTTTATTGTGATAACAATAGTGTTAATGTTTCTAACCATTCCTTCATAGTTACTTAAAAAAAACACCTAGTAGCAGGTTCCATTGCTAATTAAACCAGTAACTGTCGTGGTACATTGAGCTTTTTTTCATGAAATTTTAGTCCACTGGCCAAATAACCCAGCCATGGGGTTACAAATAGCAGGATAGAATTCCAATGTTGAATTTCATTTGGGGAACATCAGCCAGCTTTATCAGAACAGACATTAAAGAGTCTTGATATGAAATTTCCCAGTAGAAAACTGCACTTGCAATGCCCTTAAATCTTTTCCAAAATTTATATGGTATGACTTACAGTTGGGGGTTACACCGGCTTCAGAATAGATCATTCTTGGTACTGTTGTCTTGTCTCTTCTGTCTTTCTTGTCCCAAAAGTTGATTCCTTCTTGACCTTTATATTTGTTTCAGGTTTTATATGTTTTATTAGAGAAAGACTGTAAAATAGCCACTTAGACACTTTATCTCCTCAGTATGCAAATGTAAATAGATGTAATATAGGAAAGAAATCTTTTGTTTTAATATAAGAATGAGGCTGTCAAATTTTTGGTTGTACA